GACCAAAAAGAAGTTGGCTTTTCAGCAAAATTGCTGGCCTCCCACCCTCCTACAAGCTTTCTAACAGTGAAAATAAGGTCTCCACCAAAAATGAGCCCAATCCGATGCAAAATGAAAGTTCGGGGGCCAAAACGCGCAGCCCGAGGCCCCGAAAACTGGCTGTTAGGCACCGGGAGTGGTGTTCGACCACGAAGCCGGTCTCTCAGACCTCAGTGTCCCTTAAAAGGGAGCAAATAAGATGTATTCCAAAAACCGGGGCAAACAGAGACGGTTAAGCGGTCCCGAACCGAGGCACACGGCCTGACGGTCCCGAAAACCGGAAACCGGGCTCCGAAATGGACAAAATGGCCTACAGCCACAAAATGTAGCCCACGGCCACTGAGAGATGGTCTACGAGACCTCTCCATCCCCTCAAAAAAAGAAACAGAGAAAACTGAGTCTGGTTCGCAAACCGAGACAAGGCACAGAAGAGGGTTCGGAAGTCCGGAGGCAGGGCTCACGGCCGCGACTCTGAAACTTCTGAATGAGCACGATATGCAACATCACCAAGCGCTCAATCGGTGATGTCTGAGTCTTAAGGTCGGTCAAAAATGGGGTGTCTACATTAGTACACAGAGCATTGGTCATCAAGACCTGTGTTGGGGGGTTGCTTCTCAACAGTGATAGGCAGGGGGAGGTCTGGATGGTTAGAATCAGATTTTTCAGTAGCAGAAATTAAATCAGCAGTGATGGATTGTGATGGGAATAAGGCTCCGGGACCGGATGGGTTTAATTTGATGTGTTATCAGAAGTTCTGGAAAGTCATGAAGGGTGATGTGGTTCAGTTTGTGAAAGTATTTCAAACCAATGGGAAGTTGGTAAAGGGTATAAATAGTTCATTCATAACCCTTATACCTAAGAAAGAGAATCCAATAGGGCTATCGGATTATAGACCTATAAGTTTGGTGAGTTCTATTTATAAGATCTTAGCAAAATTGTTGGCTAATAGACTAAAATCTGTAATGCCTCATATCATTAGTGAATACCAGTCTGCGTTTCTGAGTGGGAGGAATATTTTAGATGGGGTGTTAATAGCTAATGAAGTTGTAGACGGATGGAAGAAAGCCAAAAAGAAGGGGTTACTTATTCAGTTAGACTTTGAGAAGGCTTATGATTCAATTAATTGGGGTTTTCTATTCTCAATGTTATCTAATTTTGGGTTTGGAGAGAAGTAGATTAAGGAGTGTGTAACAACTGTAAGGCTCTCAGTGCTTGTTAATGGATCTCCTACGGAGGAGTTTAGCCCACAAAGAGGTTTGAGACAAGGGGATCCTTTGTCCCCTTTTTTGTTTAATCTTACGGCTGAAGGTCTTCATAAGTTGTTAAGTCGTGCGTCCCAGTTAGATTTAGTTAAAGGTGTTAAGGTAGGCCATGACGGTGTCCTGTTAACGCATCTCCAGTTTGCAGATGATACATTACTGTTCTGTGAAGCTCAGGTGGATGAAGTGAGGAAGTTGAAAAGGGTGCTTAGGTGTTTTGAAATTATGTCAGGACTCAAAATAAACTTCCACAAGAGCGTAGTATGCGGTGTGGGTGTTTCCAAGGAGCTGTTAGATAGCTGTGCTGCAGTGTTGAACTGTAAAACTAAGGCATTACCTCTAAAGTACCTTGGGATGCCATTAGGTGCTAATCCAAGGAAGAAAGCTACATGGAAACCAGTGGTGGATAAAGTCAAAAGCAAGCTCGCTGGTTGGAAGAGAAAGATGTTGTCATTTGCAAGGCGGTTAACACTTGTCAAATCGGTAACTTCAGCATTGCCAGTGTACTACTTATCTTTGTTCAAGTTGCTTGAAGGGGTAGCTAGAGAGTTGGAGAAGATTCATGCTACATTTTTATGGGGTGGGTCTGCCTCGGATAGAAAAATCCATATGGTGAAGTGGGAAGACTTGTCAAAAACAGTGGAGAAAGGTGGTTTGGGTATTAAGAAAGTTAGGGATGTGAATAACTGTTTATTAATTAAATGGTGGTGGAAGTTTGGCTGTGAAAAGTACACTTTGTGGAAAAGAGTAATTTGTAGCAGGTATAGGTTGGAGCTTGATAGATGGATCCCAACTTTTTTCCCATCTAACAGGCACTCGGGAGTTTGGAAAAGGATTATTGCAGTGGCTGAGCAGTGTAGTAGCCTCAAGGAATTTTACTTGAATAATTTTAAGTTGAAGGTGGGGGATGAGAAGAGAATCAGATTTTGGACTGATATGTGGTGGCAGCCTGTGTGCTTGAAGGATGAATTTCCAATCTTGTTTAGGTTGGCTGTGGATAAAAATGAATCCTTAAGAAGGGTGGTTGATAAGAGAAGTGTAGTGGGTGGCTGGTTCTTTGAGTTTAGAAGGGGGCTATATGAGTGGGAAGAGCAAGAGTTGACAAGGCTTTTTGAATATCTGAGAGGGGCTCCTGTTCAGTGCTCAGAGGGTGTTGATAGGCCTACATGGTTAGCTTCATCTGTTGGGATATTCACGGTGGCAGATTTGTACATGAGGGGTGTGGATAATATGGGTGCCAGGATGAGCATTACCAAATTGATTTGGCTTAATTATATCCCTCCTAAGGTGCAGGTTTTTGGTTGGTTTGCATGGAAGAAAAGACTTAAGTCTAAGGAATTTTTGCAAAAACTGGGGGTAATCAACTCTAGTGATTCTATTGCTTGTGTATTTTGTGGCAGTGGCACTGAATCAGTGACTCATGTCTTAATCTGGTGTCCTTTTGTGTGGAGGGTTTGGTCTGAAATGTTGGTTTGGTGGGGTATCCAAGCTGCTATTCCAGGATCGGTGGAGTGTTTATTGCTGTGGTGGGCAGGAGAGAAGTTAAAGATGAAGGAAAGGAAGATCTGGAGGGTGATTCCATTGGCAGTGATGTGGTCTGTGTGGAAGTGTAGGAATGAGTGTGTATTCAGAAAAACTATCCCAAATCTGGAGGACCTTTGTGACTTAATTAAATATAGGGTTGCATTTTGGTTGAAGCATGTCTTCAGTGAGTTTAATTTTTCAGTCTAGGATTTTGTGTTTAATCTGAGGCAAGTGAGGGAGTGCTTGGGTAGGTGTGGTGGTATGGTGTACTGAGCTGTGGTGTGCTGATCTGTGGTATGGTGTACTGATCTATGTTGATAGGGTGTCCTGATCTGTTAGGCTTTGTTGCTGGGTGTAAGTAGTACTACTGCTATGTTATTTTGGTGGGTCTTGACAGATACACTGGGCTGGATTGGTGTATTACCCATGAAGTACTGGGGTACTACTGTTTTGCATGATGTACTGGTGTACTGGTGTATTACCCAGATTGTATGCTATTAAACAGATACACTGGGCTGTGTTGCTGCTTGGTCCATGTTGTTTTGTTGGGCTGGTAGGGTGTATTACTCAGATTTTGTGCCGTTAAGTTATACTGAACTGGTGTGTATGGATAGTGTGGGAGGTCTTTGGTCTGATGTGGAAGTCTGTTTGTTTATGGGAAAATGCTTTGGTGTACAGATTGCTGACAGTGGAGCTTGATGCAGTTGTTCTTGGTTTGCATTCAATTGGGCTGGATTGTGTGGAGTAAATTGTTTCGGTTGGCAGCCGGGAGTTGTAGTTCTAATTGAGTATTTAGGTGTATGCTGATAGCTCTGTTATGCTGCGTATTTTTGAAGACGGGTAGTTCTGTTCTGCTGTGTAGTTCTCACTGTTTTCTTTCGTCTTTGTTTCTTCTCTTGTTATTGTTCTTGTTCTCTGTTGGTTGATTCCTTACTAGCTGGCGCTTGGAGCTTCGTTTTAGCTCTAAGCTCCTCTTTACTGATGTACTGCTTCATACTTTGTATGTTGTCATCAATAAAGATTTTATTTTGCCGACCAAAAAAAAAAAAAATTTGTTATTTTTTCTATTTCTTGAGTTTCTCTCTTTTGTCTTTCTACTTATGTTATAAGACACCTTCAACAACCCGATTGGAGCTTGAATTTGCTCCAAGCGCCTCTTTATTCATGTAATTTACCATGTTTTGTATGTGTTTTCGTCAATAAAGTTTTCTTTTTGCCGATTAAAAAAAAAAAAATTAAATGATAAGATCTAGTGCATAGGCCATGTTACCAATCAATTTTTTAATAAAAAATAAAAAATAAAAAATAAACCCACACAGAAATGTGAATAATCAAGAGAGAGTTCATGCATTGTGGAGTTAATCACCAAGAAAAGAAGAAAAATAAAAAGAAAATGGAAACAAATTTTTCAGTAGTTAGAGTTGGAGTTCATGATGGGATGGAAGCCACTACCATTTTTCAATAGTTACGCCAACTTGAACTGACATATATCATACTCACTATCTTGACTCTTAATCGAAGTTAGGAACTACTTTTCTGCCACCAAATTCAGAGAGAGAGAGAAAGAGAGAGAGACTTTAAAACTCACATAGCCGTATATGTAACTACTCTTCCTTCAATTATATTTTTCTCCATCTTGTTTTCCACATGTGTAGTTGCCCTTCTAACTCCGCCATTTTGCCAAGGGCAAAAGGGAAAAAGAAAAGAATGTATTCGCCCAAAAAAAAAAAAAAAATGCATTCGAGGCAATTTCGACCTCATTTTCGAGGCCTCAATCACAGCCCTTTTAAAATAATTGTAGATATTTAATAATACGACCTGGTAGTCATTTATGGTTGACTATTTCCTTAAAAAATAGAGTAAAAGCTAGTAATTAATGCATTTTTAACCAAACCCAAGACTTTATGAATAATGTTATATGTACAAAAACGTATATTAATCAAGGGCTTGGCTTCTGTCTAGTCCTTAATCGGACTGGACCGTGCTGTTGGGCCCGTGGATGCCCACCACGAGTCCCGTTTTGATAATCTGAACCGTTGAATGTGTAGAAATCGTCGAGTGCTATAAGCCTATAAAAAATCATGTTAATCGGATATCGGTGCAATGTTTTAATGATATATAGTTATCTCTCAACTGAAGCCCTTTTCTCATATAAGACTACATGCAAAATATGCGTAGTTGAAAGGAAAACAAAGTTTCCTTAGGAAGGAGCTTATGTTTCTATAAATTTCAGTATGTAAACGTAAAATCCATTCAATATAAACATGCCGAACAGTGTGGTGACTTTAAGTCAATACCTCTATGTTGTGCCCAGATCTTTGTCTTGATGGCAAGGTTAATGGTCTAAGCCCATTGTTGTCGTTGGAGCTAGTTTGCAACCAAGCCTCTCCGTTGCTAAAATTTTAAACAAAAAACCAGTGTTAGTCTTCAATTATACTTTTTTGCATTCAATGTGACCATCATAGTGCAATGATACTTAACTAGATACAATATCTATCCTAAGGTCTCGTGAGCTAATTATGCTTCTATTGTTGTAAAAATTGAATTAAAAACAAAACAAAAAAAAAAACAAAAAGGCTGCATAAATCCATTAAAAGAAGCATAAATAGAAGTGCAGCCAAAACTACCCACTTATTAGATCAGTGTCTAATAAATGGCATATTTTAAAGAGTATATGTGACTGTTAAGAACTTAGGATGTGCATTGTCTTAATTGTCTCACTCATTAAGATAACAATACTTAGAAGAGTCAATACATGAGCTTCTCTATGAAAGAAAGTTTAGTCTATCTGCTTCTCAGTTCAACATGCGTAGAACTAATTTTTTTAGTTCAGCTTTCCCATTAAAGTATGGGTGAATTACCCTAACCTCCCCTAGGGTTTAGAAAAAATACAACAAACTCCACAGTTTTGGCATAATTGCGTTGGCTTCTCCAAGGTTTCAATTCACATAACACTTAACCTCCTTTTCATCAATAATTTGTTGATCATATCGATGAAAAAATGGTATTGTCATCTCATTTATATTAAAATGTATATTTTTTCTTATTTATCTTTTGGTTTTCACACAAATTACATTAGTTTTCATCTCTTTAACTTTACTAAAAGAGTCATTATAATTATGTCAAAACTATGGGTCTACTTGTATTTTTTCCAAACTTTAAGGAAAGATGATTTTTTTTTTTTTTGTTATTTTTTTTTTTTTTGTTTTGATAACTAGGTGTCTGATTCAACTTGCACGCACCCTAACTAATCCCACAACCCTGAAGTTAATGGTTGAAAAGACCTGTAATGGCCATTTAGGGTGACTCGAACTAGAGGTCTTAAATCTTATTCTCAAATCTTTATCATTTGGCCAACTCGTGGAGGTTAAAGATGTTGTAATTTACCCTAAAAGTATCTATAGCATTTCAATTTTTATTAGTTTAGTCCAATTCTCTAAATAGCAGTATCAGAAGTATCGAGCAAAATACATAAGAAATTAGGTGATGCAGTTATGAATTTTTTAAAATCAAGAGCTGAAAAGGATGGTAGGTTTGTGATACAAACCTTTAGGAATGGAATAATAAAAATAAAAATAAACATTCTTAAAAAAATGGTTATATCTAACAAGAAGATAATGTTCACAAAAAGGAAAAAAATACCAATTGATGTTCATATATTGTCACTTGTGAAGGTACAATCTTATATATAATGTTATGATGATAAATATAATAAATAAATAAAAAAGTAGCTGTTGTGTGAAAAAAAAACTCCACTTTAGTTGTTTTCTCATACATACAATGGTAGAAAAAACCTAACAATCAAAATGATGTGATAAGTATGAGAGAAAAGTATTAATGGTAATTTACTCATCCAGTACATATTATATATCTTTGTTGTTCCTTTCAATACATTTTGATATATGCAAACACTAGAGGATGTTGGGGTTGGACACACTTCCTGACATCACAAATGTTGTGTTCAACTCTCATTGAACACAAGAATGTTTCTCCAGTAGTAACTCAGTAGCTTTTGAAAGGTATTTCGCAAGCCTCTTCAGCTTCTAGAATACCATAGAGACTGACCACAGCCAGACACACTGCATAAAAAGCACCAACTAACTAAATAATAGCCAATATGCCAAATCACCCCTATAGAACTTTGAGGTCAATCAGCATTCTTAAACGACAGAAACATATTAGATGGTATATTTATTGCTAATGAGATTTTAGACAGATGAAAAAAGGCTAGATGGAGTGGAATTGTGCTTAAACTGGATTTTCAGAAAGCTTATGACATAGTCAACTGGGAATTTCTGTTTTCTATGTTATCAAACTTTGGGTTTGGAACTAAGTGGATGAGTTGGATGAAGGAATGTGTTGCATCTGCTAGAGTTTCTGTGTTGGTTAATGGGTCTCCAACACCAGAGTTTTGTCCACAGAGGGGTCTTCGACAGAGAGATCCATTGTCACCATTTATGTTCATCATTGTGGCTGAAGCACTCAACATTTTACTGGCTAGAGCTAAAAGTTTGGGTCTGATCAGAGGGGCATCTGTTGGCTCCAGTGGTCTTAGGATCACTTATTTACAATTTGCAGATGACACTATTCTGTTTTGTGAAGCTGATTGGAGGGAAATTATTAATATAAAAAGAATCCTCAGCTGTTTTCAAATCTTGTCAGGCCTAAGAATCAATTTCAACAAAAGTGTGGCTTGTGGGATGGGGATTCCAAATGAGCTAGGCCAAGAGTTTGTGGCAAGGCTAAGTTGTAAATTTCAAAATTTGCCTCTTAAATACTTGGGCTTGCCATTAGGGGCCAGCCCAAGTAGAAATAGAACTTGGCAGCCAATGATTGATAAGTGTAAGCAAAGACTTACTTCTTGGAAGAGAAGATTTCTATCATTTGCAGGTAGATTGACCTTGATTAAGTCTGTCATTGCTAGCTTACCTATTTTTTATCTTTCACTCTTCCAGATGCCTGAGCTGGTAGCAAAACAGATTGAAAGAATCCAATCTTCCTTCATTTGGGGTGGCTCAGATTTGAGGAGGAAAGTGCATTTGGTAAAATGGGAGGATGTTTCTAAAAGCAAAAGCATAGGAGGACTGGGTGTTAAGAGAATTAGAATTGTGAATGTATGCCTTCTGCTGAAGTAGTGGTGAAGGTTTGGTGCAGAAGATAATTCCCTCTGGAAGGATGTAATCTGTAGGAAGTACATGCAGCTAGCTTGGAATTGGTTCCTATCTAATGAGAGGGTTAGCAGGATGTCCAAGATTTGGGGTGATATAGCTAACACCGTGGCTACTAGGGCAGAGCTTCTTCAATTTTTTAAGAGTAATGTTGTTGTTAAGATTGGGGATGGTAGAAGAACTAGATTTTGGACTGACTACTGGTCAGATGGTGTATGCCTCAGAGATGAGTTTCCTAGACTTTACTCTCTTTCAGTTGACAAAGCAAGGTCTGTGTTTATGTTTCATAACTATAGAGATAAGTTTGGAAATTGGATCTTTAATTTTAGGAGACCCCTTTTTGCTTGGGAGGAAGAGGAGATGAGGAGATTGATTGTGCATCTCAGCAGTTCTCCAATGCTCAGGGTAAATGTTGCTGACTGTTTGTGTTGGAGAGTAGGTCCATCTGGTATCTTTAGTGTTTCATCTGTCTATAATTGGTTTGAATTCGGTTTTGGTCCTGCCTGCATGATCTCTAGATCTTTGTGGAAGGCTGTTGCACCACCAAGAGCACAATTATTTGGATGGTTGGTTTGGAGGGGTAGAATAATGACAAGTAGTTTATTAAGAAGGATTGGTATCCTAAATGTTAATGTTAGATGTTTGCTTTTTTTTTTCTATAAAGAAGTGGAGGAAACTATTAACCATGTGCTACTTCTATGCCCTTTTGTGTGGCTGATATGGTCATTCTTTGTCAAGTGGTGGGGGTTAAAATGGGTTTCACCAAGAACAGTTCAGAGTTTACTAAGGTGGTGGTCTGGTTGTAGATTGAGGAAAAAGAAAAAGAAGCTATGGAGTGTAATCTCATTTGCAATTTTCTGGTCCATTTGGAAACTAAGGAATGATTGTGTGTTTAATGGGGTGCAGCCTAATTTTGAAGTTCTATGTGATACCATTAAGGTACGAATTTCCTTGTGGGTGAAGTCCTCAGATGCTTCTCGGGCTTATACTATCAATGATCCAGTTCATAATCTGCAACATGTGAGAAGGTGTCTAGGTTGAATCAACAGCAGCTTGCCTTGGTTTAGAATTTGCTTTACCTGTCAGTGTGTATGCTGTTAGTGGTTTAGAATCTGCTTTGATGCTTAGTACTTTGCTATCAATTAGTTCTGGTGTATAAAGCAGAGGTACTGTTAATTCTGGTTTTGGTTTGATGCTCAGTTCTTTGCTGTTAATTTTGGCTTGACTAGTATTTCTGGTGTCATAATCTGTTAATTTTGGCTATGCTGTTATTTTGCTTTGATGCTTAGTACTTTGTTGCTGCTTTTGCTCTTGGAGTTGGTTTTGGTTATCTGCTAAGTTGGTTGTCTGCTGTTCTGCTGGTCTGCTAAGTGGGTTGTTTGGATCTAAGGCTTTGCTCAACTGTTATGTTGGCTGCAAATCTGGGCTACTATGTTGGCTGTCTGTTGTTCTACTGGTCTGCTAAGTTGGTTGTTTGGTTTTAAGGCTTTGCTCAGCTGTTATGTTGGTTTCAAATCTGGACTGCTATATTGGTTTAGCTATGTTCTGCCCTTCAACTATGGGCTGCTATGTTGGTTCTAGTTTTGTTTTGGCTGTGATTTTTTTTTTTTTTTTTTTTGGCTTTGTTTGTTGGTTTCTCACCAGCTTGGAGCTTGGAGCTTGAGTTCGAGCTCGTTCCATGCTCCTCTTTATTGATGTATTTATCATACTTTGTATATTTTCATCAATAAAGATCCTTCTTTTGCCGATAAAAAAAAAAAAGATTATCTGAAGCCTAACTGGATCATATTTGTTAACTTCAACCTATCAAAACCTGCCACATGTTTGGGCATAACAAAACACCCCTATTACTTTCTTCCAATATGAAATGATTTAATCAAATTAAATTTGTGAATTCTACATGACTTTGATGAAATGGTCTCACTCATTGACTCAAATGCACAAGTTATTTTGAAATTTTAACATAATATCTTATTATGGTAGACAACATAAAATCTGTGATTTGTTTTACTGTTGTGAAGCTTTTTGCACTGGTTTGCTATGCGGGTGAAGTAGTGGAGGTGTCATGGTCTAAGATGGAGTTGTGATCTGTTTTGTTGTGATCTGCTATGATCTGTTTTGCATTGGTCTACTATGATTGTGCTGCTATGAAGCAAGGGAGGTGTCATGGTCTTTGTTGCTTTTGGTTTTGTTTTGTTTGGTTTGTTTAGCTATTATCTTGGGTGT